ATAATGGAACCAGATCAGCAGGGCCGTGTCATATACCTGCCTACAACGATGCTATTTGCAGACGACTTGACGGTCCTAATTAGGGCTACAAATTCCTCTTTTCAAGCCCTCACGAGAGCGATGGCCACTTTCCAACCGGCTTCGGAGATGAAAATTAATTGGCCTAAAGCTGTGGGTTGGTGGCTCTCAGATGTTGACCAACAAACTCAAGCCCATCCACAGAATTACGGGGGGATGACATGGGTAACGACGGATCAGCCACTGAGATATTTGGGGATCAGGCTAGCGGATACAGGTCCTCATCACTTGATGGCACAAGAGCAGATGACGAAAATGTTAGCCAAGTTGTCAGCATGGTCAGAAATTTATACTTCACTTGTTGGGAGGGCACTAGTATTAAATGCTTCTATCTTCTCCATGTTATGGTACGTAGGAACAATATGGACACCTTCCTCACACTCACTCAACAGGTAGCAGCCTACCTATGGACAGTGAACCCTACCAAGACAAATTATATTTCCAAGTTAGCGTCGAGACAGGTTATTCAGTCAAAGGATCAGGGAGGCTTGGGAATCCTAGACTGGGGACAGCAGATCAAAGCACTCCACACTAAATGGGTTATCAAGTTGGTGACACAACCCCATCTTTGCTGGGTCCCGTTGGTATTAGACCATATATGAGGGATGGCCAGGTGTAAAACTCCACCCAATATGGGGGGAATTTTCTGTTTTTTTTGTAAAGGATGGGCCAAGAGGGGAAGAGTAGGAATACAGGGGGGAGAAGAGGGGACGACCAGGAGTTTGTATTGGGCCCAAATTATTACGATATGGGCAGAAATCTTTCGGGCAAGAGTAAGACAACTGAGGACGAAGGAGGAAGCGCTTAGGCAACGGCTATTTTGTAATCCATGGTTGAAGGACTTCCAAGGAAAACCCAGGACACTAACAGCAAGGGATGCCAAGTGGGGAAATTGGTTGGAGCATGGAGTATGGCAAGTGAAACATCTATGGTCAGAAACCAATCGCAGATGGAAAACAGGTAGAGAATTGAGGGAAGACACGAAGGGGTGTCACAGACTAATCGAAAATCTGAACGACATGCTAATCTCCATTCCGAAGGAGTGGACGCAGATGTTGAGGGCTCCATGCAAATGGGGATGGGGTGACTGGGCAACTTGGTGTCATAGTGAGGAACCACAGCAAGCCTTTCGCATTGATAAGGAGGTAGGACCAGCTAAACAGTGGTTGGAAGCAGATATGCATACAATCTTGACCCCAGGCACCACAGTGAGTCAACTGGATACTCGAGGGTGCCGATCACCATCAAGCAAATCTTTTGAGAAAAGTCAGAGTTATAGAGAATGAGGAGTTTCCAATATATGCTCCAACAATCAACATTCAGAATCTAGAGATTGATCACATAGAATGGGCATGGAACATCAGGGGAAGCGCGTCATGAGTAGTCAAGAGAATTAACATACTTCAGTATACGACTAAATGGGGGTATCGGCTCAGGAAAAGGTCGAACCAGATGGATAGGCCTTTGGCGATAAGATGGGAGAAGAGGGTGGGCATACCAAGAGAACAGGTAGGCAAACTTCCATGGTCAAGCCTACACAGCATCAGGTTGAGTAAGATCCATAGTATGCAGTGGCTCATATTCCATGTGGCACTCCCAGTCAACGCCTGGTTATATGAA